AACAGCCACCAAAACTGACCTATGATTATTAATCTGATGGACAAGACCAACAATACATCCTTTTTCTACACCGCTTTTCCTGTTCGGGGTCACAGGGGTCATTGGGTGAGAGGCAGGGTTACACCCTGGACTGTTCACCAGCCAATCAGAGGGCTGACATATAGAGACAGACAACCAGACACACTCACATTAACACCTACGGGGAATTATAGAGTCACTTACGTTAACCTAACGAGCATGTCTTTGGACTGTGGGAGGAAGACGGAGTACCAGGGAGAACCCACACATGAACGAGGAGAACATGCAAACTCCACACAGAGAGGCTCCTGTCAGACGAGGATTCAAACCAGGACCCTCCTCGCTTCTACCTCACAACATGCAGCCACCAACAATCAATGTCATGCTCCATTTTTTTGCCTTTTTGATCAGCCTTGCATGAAGAACAAAGTCAGACACTATAATGACCTAATCACATTTTTTTGTAGTTGCCATCTAGTGGCCATTAAATGAACTGCATCTCAACAATGCACTGAGTTCAAAAGTAAGCCATGGCAGTACATCAAATCTAGCACATTACTTTATTTCTTTATTTTGTTAAAGGAGCAGTATGTAACTCTGACCCCTAGTGTTTAAAATGGTGTTTAAATTCTAAACCTCACAGAGAGTTGTCTCTCCCCCCCCTCCTCTCTAGAGTGGATGCTCACACAGGTCACCATGTGGTGGACTCTGAAGCTTCAGTGTTTATCCAGCTCTGCATGGGTCTGTAAACCTTTCTGTGTTCTAACCTCTCTCCATTTTTCAAAAGCATCTCCAATATTGATCCTAGTTTGAGCACGTTTCTGCTCGTGGAGCTTATTAGAAACATGCAGAGGCTTTTTAGGTCGGGTACAATCACTTCTATCTGAACCACTTCTCTTGACCGCTTCCATCACTGCAACACCTGTTGACCTGATAACTGCTCTCATATCTGACAAACCGAGGGGCGTCCAAAACGGCCGTGTGGGGGGATGATCGTGTGCTGAGCAACATTTTTCTCCAGTTTTTCAACAACACAAGCGGCACAACAAGGACTTGAGGTCGTCTTTATAAATCATTTTGTAGCAACACAAAGCGTTAGGAACACAGTGTTTATAGACGGTTTCTCCCTGAAGTGTTTAAAACAGGATTTCATATCACTCAGTGAACACAGATTAAATATCATATCTTGTGGACATGAATATGTCTCTCTCTCTTCAGTCACACATCCCACAAGTCCCTCCTGTCTATCTTTTGTGTACATTACCCCCCACATTCCCCACTACTGCAGCCTGTTGCCAGGCAACCTGAGGTCAAAGGGCATCAAGAAGGGGCCAGACACTTCTCATTCCTGTCAGCTGCTGGGCGGGTGAGGGGGGAGAGGGGGCTGTTTGATTACTAAATGACACTCTGTGCTACTCCCACATCCTGCCCTGCCAATGTTTGCCTCAGGAAAAATGGTGTGTGTGCATGTGTGTGTGTGGTGTGTGTGTGGGTGTGTGTGTGTGTGTGTGTGTGTGTGTGTGTGTGTGTGTGTGTACGTTCATCCATGAATAACAGCACTTACCTTGTGTGTATTTGGTTTGATGCATCGAATGAAAAAGGGGTTAGAAGTGCTGAGTGTGGCCATCAGGGAGTGCAAAGAATCCTGCAACAAAACAAACACGTTTTGAATTATTACTGCGATCTTCAGTTTCTGCATCTTCCACTGCAGTGGTTCCCAACTGGTGGGTCGGGACCCAAAAGTGGGTCGCAGAGTAATAATGTCTAATGTTTAATTTATAGTTAAGGATGCAAAAACAGCTGCTGCTACCTCTGGTGTTACTGCATCTACTATTACTGTTACCACTATTTAAATACTGTGTTTGTGTAATGAGCATGTTTTTGGTGCTTTTCCATTTTTCTTTTTTTTACTTTGAGACATGCATTGAAAGATAAACTGAGATAAACTGTATTGATCCACCAGAGGGGGAAACTTGGTCATTACAACAGCTCAAAAAAAGAGGAGAGAAATGAGGAAAAAAGTGAGAAGCAAAGGTATTTACAGAATTTTAAGATAAGAAGAAACGTTGCCTGAATGTCTTGCACTTTATTAGAAACATTTCTAAAGTCGTTTTCACATCTGCACTCCTGAAAATATCTAGACAATTTATACAAACTTTTATATTTCCCACTTCTACTATGTGTTTAGGAGCAACTGTAACGACCACATGTCCTCCTTGGATTAATAAAGCATCTCCGCTTCTGACTCTGATATTTGTTCCTGATGGTTTTCGTTGACTCTGCAGTGAACGTGTTGTTTATCGGTGTCTTACCTTGAACTGGGAGCTGACCGTGGGCCGTCTGTGCTTGGAGGTGCTCCTCAGAGTGTCCTGTTTGTTGCGGCTCAATACGTGCTCAAACAGATCGTAGACAAAGTCCAACCTGACGAAACAGAAAGGAAGAGTCAGCAAACACGAGCCGCGAGACATGCAGAGAGCTGAAGAACGAGCAGAGTTTCAGAGTGTAAAAGTGGGACAATGAAGTAAATCAACGTGATGCAACTACGAGAAAATGTGATGATCCATTTTCCAAGTGTGATCTCAAAAGGTGTTTCTCCTCTGGTAATAACTCAGGAAGAGTTGAACAATATCTCAATCTTTGCAAACCTCGGGGAAAAAACAACACATTTTGTACTTTTTTCCTCAGGCAGTAAAGAAACGCTGCCTCTCTTCCTGCTGGGTTTGAATTATCGATGCACTCTAAAAACCAGCTCGCTGCACAAAGTATGTCAGAAAGTTAATATCACACAGAAGGCCTCCAGTCCTCTTTTACTTTAGGCTCTTCATGCGTTCAGTCATGGAGACGTGAAAGCTGTCAGTCGTTTTTATAACATGAAGTTGTTGTTCACTTCCGCCCCTAGTGGACAAAGTGAGGATTACAACAACAAGCTTTTTCTTTTCTCCCCATGCCACTTTTTAAATGTTTTTAAGGCTGGAAGAAAAACAGAACTTGGAGAAAATATTAAATGATTGTTTGTTTGTTTTTTCACCTGTTTGCTTCACATGTAGAATATAATCAAAAGTATCATCCACCAAAGACTTTTATCATCTGTTAGAACCATAGACTGTAAATGTTGAGGAACAAAGCCCGAGTGACGTCACCCATCTGTTCCTGCAGGGGGCGCTGGAGTCCCATCGATGGGTGTAGGGGCATGAGGGGCGTCCTCGATTATAGATTGACTTTGAAGGCTGCAAAGCTTTTAAAAGGAGGTGGATTCACTCAAACTATAATCTGTGACCATAAAAGCACCAGTTATTCTCGTTGTTTCTGCACTGGTGTCGCTTGAGATGCAAACTGACTCAGGCCGTTATGCGTTTAAGTCTATTTCTAAATATGAGAGGTTATGACAGAAGATAATACGAAGCAAGAAACGCAGCATCCTACCTGCTCTCCCTCAGCAGGTTGAGGATGTCGTCCCTGAAAGTGTCTCTGTTCTTCTCCAACATCCCCCTCACGTCGTACACCACCTGCAACCAGCCACAAGGGGGCGGCAGAGAGTTTTATAGGAACAAAGAGAAAAAGGGATGTGGTTTTTGGTTTAACACTGGTAACAAAGTGCAATGAGTCGTCACTTTAGGTCAGAAAAACAAAGCAGACGTCAGGATCTCACCTCTCCTGCATAGTGCCTGACTCCAAAGTAGTGCACAGCCACACGTGGTTTCACATAGAAAGAGTTTTTCTGCAGCGGGAGGAAGAAAACAAACATCAACGACAAAATCACAAAGTCAAAAGTGAACAGATGAAAAGAAGTCGTCCCTTTGAACGTTGGTTCTGTGGACCCAAAGTCTTTTATTGGTCATAAAAGGCTGCAAAGCTTCAGTCCATATTTTAAATATCTACTCCCATTTATTCAAATCACCTTTTCACTACTTGAAGGTTTGAATGTGATGTTGAACAAAGACAGTGGGAATAAAAATAAGAAATTCAGAAATCCTAAATTCAGATAGTTTGTATCACAGCGTTTATACAAATAACTGTTGTATAAATATGGACGTCTTGGCTACAGGAGCAGAATATTTGTGTTGAAAGTGAAAAAAGGTCGTACTGAGTGCTGGCTGTGAAGTTTCTCCAGTAAGGTGTCGTCTGTGGCTTTGGGGAAGTGACTCTCCTCGTTCATCAGTGCCAGGAGGCCCAGTTTCTATGGCAACACAAAGACATCATCATCATCATCATCATCATCATCACTGCCCCAGCTGTTTTTCTCATCCTCTCCATCAAACAGGTTTTTTTAAGCATCATCTTTTCATTCTATGTTTTTCTGTTTGGATATTTTTTTAACCTGTTTGTCAAAGTTCATGTTTCATAAACGTCTTTTTCTGTCCCCTTGTTGACACAAAGCTTTGGGTAAATATCATCGACACTGTTTCAAAACATCTCATCAGTCGTTCAGAAGCCCTGAGCAGAGATCCACACATTTGATCGACTGTTCCACTTTCTCAGGATCTCGACTCTTTTACTTATTTATGACAGGATGGTGTGTCGGGGTCTCGTCCATCACAGAGACCAGCCTCTCGATTTGTGATCCACATCACCAGATGGTAGTGTTGTAGTCCAGACCAGTGGTTCTCAACTGGTGGGTCGGGACCCAAAAGTGGGTCGCGAAAGTGTGCCTGGGGGTTTTTGTTTCATTTCTTTGTTTTTGTCATATGTTTTGTACCATCTGAGATTTTTCTTATTCAAATGTCATTGGTTGATAAATATCCAAAATGTGGGTCCCGATGTCTTGATAACGAGTTGGTGTTGGGTCCTGAGGCTAGACCAATTGAGAACCACTAGTCAAGACCCCTCTAACCGAGACAAAGACACACCCGAGGCCAGAGTCCTCAATGAATTGAAGTTGTGGAAAAACAGCCGATCAGTGGTGGTCCTGATTTTAAAATCCAGAGTCCGCTCAGTCTGAGTCCGAGACAAGACCGAGTAAAAATGTTTTCCTGGTCTTGAGACCAAGACCGATTTAAGTACTACAACACTGCCAGATAGTGATCCTGTTGTCACGAGAGACAAGCTTTTTAAATAAACCGTAACGGCCAACCGAAGGAGCAGCTTCTTCTTCTCTCGAGAAAATGTTCAAAAACAAGTCGAGATCTAAAGAAAGACGACCGGAAACGACTCGATACCAGAGGAGAGAAGAGTAAATAAAATGTGTGGATGATTTAAAAGTGTTCAAAGGTCTCTGAAACAGAAATGTCATCCTCCTTTCTTCTGTTCTCTCGTCAAACAAAACACATTTCTGAATCTCCCACACGAACCTTCTCGATCAGATCCAGACACTCGCCGTTGTCCATCCAGTTGATGTCGACCCAAACAAGACCTTCCCTGGAGGAACAAACAAACAAACAAACAAACAAACAAACAAACACACACACACACACACACACACACACACAGAGGATCAGTGAACCAGGTCAAAGTGAGCAGATACATCTTTGGTCAACATGTGACATCTCTCTTACCTCTAACTTCTGACCCTTTAGGGATCAATAATAATCTGTCTAGTTGGCCACTAGGGGGAGCTCTGACCTAAAATAAAGCTGGCCTATGAGACATTTTTAACTTGCTGGTTCCTCAAACCATTGGTTCCCAAACTGGGGTCAATGACGCCTTCGTGAGGGCACCAAAGATCTGGGGGGGGGGGGGGGGGGTGGAGGCTTTCCTCTGCTCTGAGGCTGCTCTGAGAACGACTGCTTTAAACATCCAAAACACCTCAAAGGTATTAGTTTCCTATGACTGATAATATAGCCTCATTAAAAGGAGAAATACGAGAGGATTAGGATTATAAAACTGGTTTTAATTCAGGAATAAGTCTTAAATTTAAAAAGAGTCGTACAACCCGTACTGAAGCCGCCTCCCGGACGACTACAGCCTCCAAACACGAGGTGCACGCTCTAACCACGAGGCTACCAGCTTCACATTCAATTTATTTTTTAAGTTCATCTTCTTTTTGAGTCCGCAGAGAACTGCGTTACCTACTAGTATATCCTTGGTGGGGATAGGAAGGGTAAAAAAATAAAGTTCATATATGTGTGTGGGCCACCCCTGCATGAGTCACTGCCCGAGGTCGCCCCCCCCAGTCAGAAACGTCTGAACACGCCCCTGAATTAAATAATTCAAAAGGATCCATCGTCACAATAAAAAACAACCTCCACCTACTTGTTGTATTCAAGTTGCTCCAGGGAGAAGATGTGCTTGTTAAAATATTCCTGAAGCTTCTCGTTTGCATAGTTGATGTTGAACTGCTCGAAGCGGTTGACCTGTGGGGGAAAACAAACGAGAACACAAACAGAGAGTTAATTAGCTGATACACAAGGAGGCCCTGAGGTGTGTTTAATGATTCCTCAATAAATGATTAAAAAACGGATTAAAATGCGAGGGAACGGGGAAACAATAAGTCACATGATTGAGCTTAATTGAGTGTGCTGGAGTGAGGGAATTTAATTGATTTAAATTCAATAAACTGTATTCATCCCTTGTCTCCAGTCTGGGTTCAAGTTTTCACTGTTAATCCTTCCTCGAGCTTAAACACTCACCTCGAAGTTCTCAAATCCAAAGATGTCCAGGATGCAGATGGATTTGAAGTCTTCTTTCCCTCTGATGCGGTTGTTGAGCTTGCGGGTGATCCAGTTGAAACACTGGGAGTAAAGTGCCATGGCCATGGAGTCTCTGGAGTCGATGGCCTGCAGAGGAGAGGAGAGGAGAGGAGAGGGAAAGAGAGGAGGGGAGAGGAGAGGAGGGGAGAGGAGAGGAGAGGAGAGAGGAGGGAGAGGAGAGGAGGAAAGGAGAGGAGGGGAGAGGAGAGGAGAGGAGAGGAGAGGAGAGGAGAGGAGAGGAGAGGAGAGGAGAGGAGAGGAGAGGAGAGGAGGGGAGAGGAGGGAGAGGAGAGGAGAGAGAGACAACACTCAATGTGTTAACATGACATCTGTCAGAATAAGGAGCAATATGTAACTCTGACACCTAGTGTTTAAAATGGGTACTGCAGTCCAAATTCAAAACATTGAAGAGAGCTGTCTAAACCCCCCCCTCCTCCCGAGAGTCGATGTGCATGCAGTTTGCCACGTTGTTGTACACTGAAGCTTCAGTGTTTAGCCAGCTCTAATATCAGTAACTTTTTGGTAGCAGAAGTGGCCGATGTTTTTACCCTCATTGAGACGTGTGTGAGGTGTCAGGTTAATATGCAGGTGTGGTACCTGTTCCACTGTGAGCGGCGTGGAGATCTCCTCCCCCCTGAGGATCATGGAGCGATGAGTCAGGACCTCGGCCAGCTGATCTGAGTTCAGCCCGAGGAGGTCCGACGTCCGACTGAGGGCAGCTGTCGACAAACACACAAAAGAGCATCGTCTTCAAAATGATATCTTAACAGAAAAGAGATCTAAAGAAGGTGAGGAACTCAGGTACATTTATAAACCAGGCTACTGGGCGTTTAAATCAAAAACAGGTACAAAGTTTGGGAATTTGCAACAATAGATTTCTTCAGCTTGCAGCCACCAAACAGGCTTTAACGACTCAAATATGTCCGCTAAAAGATCTTGTTTTTTTTAAACACTGACAGGCTCAAGTGGTTATTCTAAGAATCGAACATCGCGACTGAAAGATAGAACTTGAAGAGGTGTAAAGCAGAGGGAGGTGTGACGGTGAGGAGAAACTCTCAGACCTGATTTGGAGGATACTTGAGCTCCTCCGGCTGTCATGAACTCGATGTTCCCCGTGTGCAGGACCCCAGCGAGGAGGCGCAGGATCTCCCCGATGTTCTCCTCTGTGAACTGCATCGTTCGCATGGCATTCTGTGAAAACACAAACACACACACACACACACACACACACACACACACACACACACACACACACACACACACACACACACACACACACGGAGAGTTGATGACAGCAGAAGTCGTAGCGTCATGTTCTCATTTATAGACTGTAAAACATATGGACGTAGGCAAGGTGACGGCATCCCAGAGGGTTCAAAAAAGGGTTATGAAGCCAAGTAATGGCGGTGGCCATATTGGAAATGCTGAGGTGGGGCCTTAAGCCTCCTGACACAGCTACAATGCCACCTGTCAGTTAACTCAGCCACGCCCCGAATGATGCAAATGTATGCTTAAGACTAAGCCCTCATGATATTCAATTCGATGAGTTATAAAACATGAATCCATGGTACCATGTGAACCACTTAAGAAACCACTCTTGACACCAAATAGTTTTTTGCACCAGGCTGTAAACATGTTTACCACTGCTGTAAACATTTGCATTTTAATATGGGGTTTAATGGGACTTTCTTGGCTTCTGCAGAGAGCCTCAAGTGGACACTCAAGGTACTGCAGCTTTTTTGCACTTATCATCATATCTGCATCAAAACCATCCTAAATATCATCATTATCAAACAAAACCATCATCATTAAGGTCGTAGGTGTTCATAAAGAGCTGGGTCTTTAGCTTTTTCTTAAAGGTGCAGAGGGACTCTGCAGATCACATGGAGTTTGTTAGTTCTTTCCACCCTCGGGGAGCGACAGAGGAGAAGAGTCTAGTTAGAGACTTAGAGCCCTGTTGTGAAGGTTGGATCAGAGGCCTTTCATTGGCAGAGCGTAGTGGGAGGGAGGGAGTGTAGACCTGGATTATGGAGTTTAGTTAAGGAGGAGCTGTTTTTTTTTTTTGCGTACCAGAACATCGTGAAAGGTGCTGTTGTCGTTGATTGTCTTGTCTGCGGTGCAGCTGGACTGTCTCAGGTAGTGGTAGCTGTCAGGCTGGGTCAACCCAAACGCCTCTGAAACAACACAACATACACAATTACACAATATAGACCAAAAAAACAACATAAACAAATATCACTGTTTAAATAACATCTAAATCTCTCCTTTAATCACAGGAGTACGATAGTATCCTCTCTACTGTGATTGTTTTATATTTTATTTAACATTGAGTTCTCTGTGACCGACCTCTCTGCTGGTTGTTGGTTCCCGCCAACAGGGCGTAGAAGATGTGATAGTTTCTCTCTCCTGGGTTCTGCCGGACGACTCGATTCTGTAGATTCAAAGAGACATTTTTGTTTACCATGAAACGGTGACCCTCTGCATGTTTGAAATGAGTGTGTTAAATATTTGCATCCTTTCATCCTCGTCAGCGTGGCGGACACTCACCTTCTCTAAGAGGTCTGCGGTCAGAGGAGTCTCAGTCAAGGCTCGTAACAGACGTAAAGACTCAGCTGAAACTCTACAAACAAGCTGAACGATTCAATCTCTATGGCAGCAGCCGCCATGCTGGAAATGCTGTCTCAGCCTAACTTTCAGTCAACCTAACGACAGGCTGAGAGCTGGAGCTGAGGCGGGTTTAAAGCCTCCTGACAAACTATCAATCATGTCCTATTTGGTTTTTTGAACCAGGCTGTAAACATGTTAATCTCTGCTGTAAAAACAGTATTTCTTTGAATGGGTGTGTATGTGACTTCCTGTGTTTCATTTTTCAACACCTGAGGTTGCTGCTTGATTAAACCAGGTTAGGATGTCTCACTCTCTCAACACTAAACAGTTTTTAAAGGATACAGTCGACGATCCTGCCTCCCTGGATGTTTCCCTTCTGACTGAAATGCAGCTGGACGAACTTCCCGAAGCGACTGGAGTTGTTGTTGTAGACGGTCTTGGCGTTTCCAAAGGCCTCCATGATGGGACTGTGGAGACATTAAAGAAGCATGGTGATTATCATATGAGGGGGTTTTCTAAAAAAAAATGTTGCCACCAAAAAAATCCCATTTCTAAATCATGCCGACCTGCTCTCCAGCAGCGCCTCCTCCACGTGCGACGTCCTGTCTCTGGACGACACCTCCAGGGAGTGCTGGCTCATGGCCGACAGGAACTTCAGGATCAGCTTTGTGCTTTCTGTTTTCCCGGCGCCGCTCTCTCCGCTGACGGGGAAAAAGAACACGCAAACATTAAGTCTAATGATCGAGCTGATGAGAGAAAACACTGTGTTTCCACGAGTGCAACGTAGCACCACAATCTGAATATTTAGAATCAGGATCACAAATATGAGGGATGCGTTAGGTTAGTGGTTAGAGCATGCGCCCCATGTGCAGAGGTTGAAGTCCTCAGGGGCAGGCGGCCCAGGATCGGGTCCTATCTGTGGCAACTTTCCCCACATGACGTTACCCACACTCTCTCTCTCTCTCCCTATGTTTCTAACTCTATCCCCCGTCCTATCTTTCCAATGGGGGAAGAAAAAGCCCTAAAATACATCTTTTAAAAAAACTGAAATCTTACAGTGAGAAGGCTAAAATACAACGCTGTTTCCAATGAAGCTGAAACACTGTGTTAAATGGTTATACAAAACAGAATAAGCAAAACATTGAAACCCCGATTTTAAGTTGAAAAAAGCACAAAGACAGCATATCAAATGTTGAAACTGAGAAATGTGGAAAATCTAAGGCATATTTGAATTTGAAACCAGCAACATATTTAAAAAAAGTTGGGATTGGGGCGCCGAAAAGTGTTTTACAAGTTTCCAGACCTTCCTGTTGGAGCTCTCGGTCGTGTTTGTGAGCTGAACTGGTTTTAAAAAGAGAGATCCATTTTGCCACATTTTGCCACTTTCGGTTTAAATTTCGTGTCCGCCAGCTTCCAGCCTCGTTTAAGACTTTTAACTGAAGCAGAGAAATAATGTTACATGAGTCTGACCTCAGTTTGTGAGAACATGAGAAAAGTGTGTGTGTGTGTGTGTGCGTGTGGCTGGAGTGTGTGTTCAGGGAAGGTGAGCGAGTGTGTCGCTGCCCGCAGGCTGTTTGTGCTCTTGAATAAACTCCTCTAAAGTCGTGTTTGCTCAACAGAAAATCAGGTCAGATGTGGATTAGGTGTACAGGACTGACTCATGACTGAACCACATGGAGGTCATTTTTACACATGCATGGGAAATATCAAGGCTGCCTGTAAACAAAAGTCCACCACTAGATGGCGGCATTGGCAGTGCTTATTAGCTATGTGTTGCCATCGACAAGTGCTTTTCCTATAAATGAAATACTGGATGAAAAGCTCCTGAAGTTGAACATTTATGATGTGAAGACTAAAGCACAGAGAGGCTTAGCAGACATGACAGAAGCAGATACGTGCAGTGGAAATTAAATCTGAATTAAAGCAACAATATGGAACTTTTACACCTTGAAATAGTCGTTTCAAAGTCGATCTACGAGTAGGATAACTTTCAACAAGGGAGAATAGCGTCAAACCCATAACCACAGAGCGCACCAGTGGCCTGCTTAATGGCTCTGCTCTACCACCAGACTTCAGCTAGAAAGCAGCCAGGTAGCCCATCTATGCACTGTTTGATTCAGCGACAGAGGCTAAGAGTTTGAGGTTGAGGGTCCTGAGATTATACTCTTGTAGCTGGAATTTTGTCTGATATTTTTCAGGATTTGTTGAAAACCTAAACTGTCATCCAGTGGACAGAATCACAACCAAAGTGTGTCTGCTGAAGAGGTCGATGAGTCCTTCTGCTCATTGTTTGTTTTTGGTGTTTTTTTTTTCCGAAACAGAGGTCGATAAACGTCGACCGCAGCTTTGCTTTAGTTTTTATTTGACTTCTCAATGACTGAACGCAAAATGCGATCTCACGCCCCAGCTCAGTCAGCGTCCCTCTGCTTGGAAACATGACTCTGTACGTTCACCTTTTAATCCTCTACCTCCTTTTATTTAAATACTGGACACAGCGTGACGCCTGAGGAAACCCCTCACACTAAACATGAACCTGGCAACCCCACAGGTGCACAATACGAGCTTCAGGCTGGCTCTGTTAATTATTAACATGTAAACTCATTACACTGACACCAACTCATTAGTCCCCAGAAGACAAACAGACGGCCTCACAGAGGAGGTGTCACTAAATCTCTCAGAGACCTTTAGAAGATGAACCGAGGGGTCATAAATATAAACTACAACAATGTCTGTCGCCTTTCTTTGTCTGAGTAAAGGTTTGAACATCAAGAGGTCTCCGTCTTTTGCCTGCTCCACTTTTCAGAAAATGTGTGCTCAAACAGGCTGTTTGGAGATTTTCCCTTCATGACATCACAAAGGGCAGTAGCCCCTCCCCCAGGTGGGTGACACTCCCACAGCTAGGTGTTTGTTCTGCCCTCTGAGTCTGCCTTCTCACTGTAAACAATAGGACATGGAGCGAGAAAGACAGAGTACACCCGAGCCCTTCCAGAGAGGGGGCGTGGTCAGACACAGCTCATTTACATATTTAAAGGTACAGACACAGAAACAGCCTGTTCTGAGCAGGGCTGAAATAGAGGGGTTTATAGACATGATCAAATACAGGATCAGAGTGGATTTAGAACAAGAAACTTCACACACATGTTTTGAGGAGCTCTGATACCCATTTAAACTGAAGAGGAGGAGGAGGATATGTCACCTTTAAGTCAAAACATCCTCACTTCCTGCTTTTACAATAATACAGCTTGGTCATTGACCTTATATGCTCAAAATAGAAGGATCCAGATCCCCATGAAGTCCTCGTTTTGTAAACACAGGGGCTGAAGGGTCAAGTTAGAAATAATGAAAACGCAAAGTCTGGTTAGAGTTTAGCAATAAAAGGTGTCACGTTAGAAATAACAACTTCTACAATTTAGACATCTAATTGTAAAGAGAGGATAATTAGAGAAAGGTGAGTATTATGGTTTAAATAAGAACTTGTAAAATACTTTACTGTAATTTACTGTAAAATAGGTCAAATAAACTTCAAACAAACAGCTGTTTATTTTGATGGTTTTTGTCGTGAGAACAGGACGGTTATAGTGATCTGAGGCTTGAGGAGAGGGCACCCGGTCGTTTTAAAATCCTCTGTGTGGCATCTTAAACGTCGTCTGTAAACTTTCCTGAGTGTAGGTGTGCTTCTTTTTAGGAACCAAACTCTTCATTTGATTTGGATAATGGTCGGGTGTTTCCTCACAGGACAGTTTATATACAGCAGGCTGCTCAGGCCTGGCACTGTGAGAAACATCTCCCCTCTTTCCTTCACCACCACCAGAGACGAGTTTAATAAAGCAGAAATGATCTTTGTTTTCTCAGTGAGAGATGTCAGCTGTTCATGGCCTCATGTGGAAAGCTTTGGACGACCGACTTCAAACACACAAACAAAATACACCTTTACAGTTTCTTTCTAAAGTTCCTCAGTTTAACAAACAGTTCTAACAAGAGAACTTAAAGTCAAACTATCCAGATTTACACGTCAACCTTTTCATAAATATCAAAGTCAGAACAACCAGTTGACAGTGAAAAAACAAATCTATCAGGTAGAAGCCTGAGTGACGTCACCCGTCTGTTCCTGCAGGGGGCGCTGGAGGCTCATCGGCAGCAGCCGCCATGTTGGAAATCCTGTCTCAGTCTAACTTTCAGTCAATCTAACGACAGGCTGAGAGCTGGAGCTGAGGCGGGTTTTAAACCTCTTGACTGATCGTTACCTCGCGCCAACCTGTCAATCAGGTCAGTTACGCGCCTAACTATGGATAACAAGTATCGTTTTAAAAATCAAAAAAGAGACCTTTTAAAATTTTTTACAGTGTGTGCCATGATGACAATAACTAATCAGACCTATTTGGTTCATGTACCAGGCTGTAAACATGTTAATCTCTGCTGTAAAAACTGCTTTTTTGCCTGTTGTGTGTATATGACTTCCTGGGTTCCAGCCTCTAGTGGACACTCTACATACTGCAGGATTTTTTCACTTCTGCATCGGCTTCATTTTACAAGCCCGGAGGTTGTCGCTTGGTTCTCACACACACAGCTCCTCTCAAAGGTTTCCAGAAAGGTTCAGGGCTGCAGTGCCTGAGTGAGCGACTGAGTGAAGAGAAACAGAGACCACATCTCTTTCCAACAGTGGGTCCAACTCTCTTTCAGGGACAGCCTCTTACTCCAAAGAGCTCGGTGTGTGCAACTTATTCAAACAGCTTTGACGACAGTGTCTGAAAAGACCGGCTACATGTAACTCATTTAAAAGACCTCTGGCCTCATGCCAGCTTACCCAAACTAGGACACACACAACTCTACTGCACGCTTGCTTTTGTACTACTCCCTGGCTCTCTGCGTGCTTTTGCCACCCAAGGTATAACCCCCTCCCCTCCCCTTCGGCTCTGGACCTCATTCAGGTCTTTTGTAGCGAGGAGCAGAGCTGCAGACTCTGTTTGAGATTCTGAGCAGCGAGGAGGAAATGAGACCCAATCAAATAAAAAATAAAAAACAAAGACCTTGAGCTGCTTTTAATCTTTTTTTTTTCAGCCCAACTTCAAACCAAACTTCTTATTTTTTCAGCTCCAGATGACTTTATTATTTTAACCACAACCAGAAATAAGAGCTTTCTAACTCACTTTTCTTCCCCCTGGCTAAAAGTCCCTCCATTTATTCAACTCGATGTCTTTTTCTTTCTTCACAAAGGCCAACCAAAACAAGGCTTAAACCTCAGCGACCATCTCCACCGCCTCCACTCCTCCTCTGTTATTTCTAAGAAGTCACAGATCAGCTCTGAAACAAAAACAAAAAACCTGATGCTGGTCTGTTTCCCCGTAAACTAACTAACTAACTATAGATGTGCACGTTTTCCTTTCCCCTTCATGCCGTCTTCCCTTCGCTGTGATGCATGCCTTCCATTGGTCACACTTCTGTCTCATCATTTATCTGACTCCAGGTTTCGGACAACGTAGAGACTCATCCTAGGAGGAAAGCTCTCGGGTATCTTTTCTGCTGCAGGGCTTCTGTGGCCCCCACATGCCGGAGCGATTAACCCTGGCTAGAGAGGCTCCAGTTTGACCTCCCGCCCACCTCTGTGGTCAGGAGGTCAGGGACAAACTGCTGCGTCTGGACGGGCGTTAGCTGTGCGTGGTAACACCCTTTAAAACGGTGTAATTAAATCTAATCTGGGCTG